ATCCGCTAGCTGCTGCAGCTGCTGAGACCCCCTTTGCTAGCTAAGTGAGTCGATCTGCTCCTGCTGCCGCTGGAATTTGATTGCCAAGTCCGCATGCACTGATTCTAGGCCTTGAAGACGTTCATAGTCGAGCTTCCTCAGCTCCTCCTCCATCTTCCTCTCCTTCTCCTCCGCAATCTTCTTTCTCACACGGGTTCTGTAGTCGGCGTTCCAGTCCGAAAACCCCTCATACCACGGAATAGCGCACATGCCTCGTGTTCTTCCCGGGTGTTCAGGATTTTCCAGGGCACGCGTAAGCTCGTCGTTCTCTATGTTGGGCTTGAACAACCCGGATCGAGCCTCTTCTATTGCAACAAGTAGCTTATCTTCGGCTCCGTCCAGACATGCCTTCTTGGAAACTTTGCCTGTCTCCGGGTCCAGCTCCCCCCCCATGCGCATAGAACCAAGTCCTGCACCTGGGGGGCCAGCTCAATGTTTCTGGAGTGACACTTGCATCCAGCATCTCTTTCTCAGACTTATCCCACTTAGGCATTCCCACCGCATAGCCACCTGGCCCCAGCTTATGAAACTTATCCTTTTTTGCGGCATTGGCCTTGTTTATTCTTGACCGTTCCTTACATAATCCCGAATCCTTAAATTTCACGAAATCGTCCCAATGAGCACTTTGATTCTCTAGTGTTCCCTCGAATACTGGAGTCTTCCTTCCTTCCTTGACGTACTTGTCCCATTCACGATTCTTGTGGTTCTTAAATGCAACCGCCATCTTCCTAAGAGCAGTGTCCTTGACTTTCTGCACATCTGCTTCTGTGAAATGATCTGGTAGGGTGAAATGTTCCATGAGAGTATCCCAAAGCAGACTTTTTTGTCTGTCGTTGACAAAAGTAAGATCTGGACGTGGCTTTGCTGGCTCTCTCCATTCTTGAAGGGAGATCGGGAGTTGGTCCTTCACAAGAACTCCGCACTGACGAACGAACTTGTCTGCAATCTTCTTAGGCGCTAATGGTTCACCATTAGGTTTGATTGCCTCGATATTATACTTTACGCCCTCCTTCAACTTTTTGTTCGAGCCTCGTTTCGTCCTGTTGCCTGAAGATTTGCTCGATCCGGATGGCTGAAAGAAGAAAGATCGATTCGTTAATATATCTTCAACTCATTTAAAACATGTGATGATCACCAGATGCCTGCTTATATAAATATATATACCTCTCCGGTGTTGTCATAATCGTAGTTCATGACTTCATCAATTCGGTCATCGCAATCGAATATCATATCACCCTCTCTGGTGTTGTTTAGAAATTCGGAGCCGTCATAATCTTCTTCATTTTGATCATCATCTGGCCCGCGTATTATATCGAATATGGTCTGTTCTCCCTCTCTGTCGGTATTGTCCGCCATAGCTTTTATTTAACTATGCCAAAAGAAATATAAAACAATTTAGTATTCAAATTACATCGTCTCGAATAATAGATATAATCTCGAATACATCGTCTTGAATAATAGATATAATCTCGAATACATCGTCTCGAATAATAGATATAATCTCGAATACATCGTCTCGAATAATAGATATAATCTCGAATACATCGTCTCGAATAATATATAATCTCGAATACATCGTCTTGAATATTATATATCGAGTACATCACTAGCTAGGTAGCTAATAAAGATCGAATACTACAGAAGAATCTAGGACTCATCGTATTCAAGGAACCCATGGCCAGGATAGCTGTCGTCGTCCTCTTCTTTTCATTGCCTTCCATCATAACCCCTCTTTCTCCGTGCTTGGTCCAAACATTATAGTGGGGCATGAAACCGGACTTAAACAGGTGGACGTGAATGGTTCTTGACGTAGAGTAATTGTGACCATTCTTACAGCGAGCACATGGACAAGGCATAAAACCATCCGCCCGCTTGTTTGCCTTAGCCACAAGCAGAAAAGTATGCAAGCCCTCAACGAACTGGGGAGAGCATCGGTCATCGTACATCCATTGCCGGCTCATCTTCATTACACAACACCGAATAGACCAAATTAATACAAGTTCATACATAAAGTTTATACAACACTTAAATGCAACAAACAAATAACTCTCTAGCTAAAGCATTTAAATGCAACAACAAATACGATCAAGATCACAACTAAGGTAACAATGGATCCAACAGCATAATGATACCAAGCCTCACTATCGATGGCATATTTTCTAATCTTTCTAATCTTCAAGCGCATTTTCTCCATCTTGATCTTGTGATCATCGACGACATCGGCAACATGCAACTCCAATTCCATCTTCTCCCCCTCAATTCTTTTCAATTTTTCTTTCAAGTACTCGTTTTCTCTTTCAACTAAATTTAACCTCTCGACAATAGGGTCGGTTGGAATTTCCGGTTCACATACCTCCTAAATTTTTTTTCTATGTCAACTTGATGGGCATAATTTGTCATAAACACAAAATACAACTAGTTTTAAAAGAGAATATATATACCACATCCGAATCATAACAAGGACGAGGGCCGACGGGGACGGATATCAAAACCATGGCACTATATGTATAACAAACAACGTACGGGTAAGATAATTATACGAGTAACTATATATCCAAATCACACAAACATCAATTTTTATATAAAATTTCATGAACAAGAGGCTCACCACAAGGTGGTGCCGGCGACGGGACGGTGCGGGCAATCGACGGTGGTTACGACGGAGATTTAGAAGGCACTAAGTAAACCACACCTACATATGCAAACTAAGTGTTATTTTTGACCTCAAATTGCATATAAATCAAATACTAGCACATATATATATATATATCCTCCCAAATTACTAAACTCACAAATTAATCACTATATAAAGCATTGCAAGAGCTAATCTAGCAATGAGAGATGAAAGGACAAAGTTGCTAACCTTTATGATCATTTGAATGGATGGGGGCTTCAAATCTTGACAAATTTTGGGCAAAATGTGTGATGAGCTCGAGAGGAAGAGGGGAAGAACAGAGAGGAGAGGGGAAAAGGGAAGAACAGAGCAAGCTCGGGTGGACGAAGGATTTATGTAGGACGACCTTTAGTACCGGTTCATGCCAAGAACCGGTACTAAAGGGGCTGGAGGGGCCCCAGTCTGACAACATCCTGCCACCACTCTCATTAGTACCGGTTCGTGGCACGAACCGGTGCTAAAGGTTCGCCACGAACCGGTACTAATGAAAGCGGCCCGGCTAGCCGTTGGAACCGGCACTAATGTATACATTAGTGCCGGCTCAAATACAAACCGACACTAATGTGCTTCACGTTTGACCCTTTTTCTACTAGTGGCCGCCACAACATCCCCGCTTGAACGAACTAGCACTTAGATCGATCACCAACCACATAGCATAACACCGCGCATCAGGGAAGCACCCGGAGCTCCCTTATTCACCGTTTTGTCGCCCTCGGACTAATGAAATACGAATTATATGCCAAGTATAGATTTAGAATTAAAAATGTCATTATTGTCGCAAGCATATGACTCATCACGAAATAAAGAAATAGAAAATTTGTGTGTTTGATCTTTTCAAACAATAGAACGAGTAACAATTCATATTTAATATATAAATAAAACATTAGTATAGAATACAAAATACAAATCAATCATCTAATTTCAGGTAGATATTATTTCATATGTATAGAGGGTATTCATATACTATAATATGAATCAAATGAGGTATGGATAAAAAAGACTACTTCTTCTGGACCCTAAAAATAAAGAAGTGAATATTCAATTTTTTAATTTTTAAGTAAGGAATAAATCATGCATACATCTAAACAACCTTTTATTAAATCAAAGCAACCCTTTAGTAAGTCCAAGCAAACTTTAATAAATCCAAGCATCCCTTTCGTAAATCCAAGCAAACTTTTCGTAAATCTAAACAACATTTTCCTAGGTGCCCTCGAATTAGCCCGGGAGATCGTATTGATTACAGAAACATGAGTTTATTTAATAGACTAGTGAAAAAGGAAAAATATTATCAAGACGAATAAATAGAGTAACCTTGAAACGATAACGATTAATTACTCTTGCTATAAAACAAGCTCATATTTTATCTTTCTTACCGTTTGTAACAATGAGAATGCGAACTCAATGGTAAAAAGAATTTATTAATGAAATAGCACATACATTTTTCGTCTGGCAAATTACCATGGGAAAAGAGAACCAACTAGTGATTGGACGATTAGGAAGACAGTGATATCCTCAGCCCAACAGGGATCAAATCTTAGGTTTACATTTTGTGTCTCATATAGCAGAATATTCTTTGAGTGGAAGTCAACATTTTCGTCTATAGAGAGGTGCCTATGTTTTTTTTTTCATACGATCAATGAAAATGGATAAGGTTCCACTATAGATAACGGAACAAAGACCAGAAAACGTCCATAGCGCAAAGAAAGGAAAAATAAGTGAAAGACAAGCTAGGCGTCTATGTGATTTTATCAATCTCAAGATCCACCGGCCCAGTCTTTTGAGGACGCTTATAGGGGTACTTGCATACTCATAAGGGATGAATGTATCTACATGTTTGTGAGAGTCTGTATTTGTAGTGTGTTTCTAAAAGAAAATTATGTGAAAATTAACCACGTTCGGCACTTGGCCTGCTTGCTTGGGCATTAGAGCAGAAGATTTATCTCTTGTGCTAAGAAAAAGAGAGCACGTGGAAGCAGTTGACCCAACCAAGCAGTCATTATCGTTAATTGTTTAAGCAGAAAGGAAGCTCCCTCTTGAGGAAAGCTCCCGCGGGCCACGGGAACGCAGAGAGTGACACGTCGCCTTAAAGAATAACCGCTTGTGGCGAAGCCAGTACGTACTCCGCCCGTCCGCCGTCGACATGCTCCGCAGCTGCAGCCCGCGTGGGTTCCAACGCATACCTATAAATAAGCACACGCACGAGCACGACACTAAGTAACACTCTCACTCTCTCACTCCAGCGCAATCATCAAGCTAGACACTAGCTATCGACCGGCAGCCAGCAGCTATGGACATGAGCCTCGAGCACTCGAGCTCTCCCTCCTCCTCATCCACTACCGAGCGCGCCGGGACGGCGTGGCCGTGGCCGCCGAAGCGCCCCGCGGGCCGCACCAAGTTCCGGGAGACGCGGCACCCCGTGTTCCGCGGCGTGCGCCGCCGTGGCAGCGCCGGCCGGTGGGTCTGCGAGGTGCGCGTGCCCGGGGAGCGCGGCACGCGCCTCTGGCTTGGGACGTACATCACGGCCGAGGCGGCCGCGCGAGCGCACGACGCCGCCATGCTCATGCTCCGGGGCCGCTCCGCCGCGTGCCTCAACTTCCGGGACTCCGCGTGGCTGCTCGCGGTGCCGCCCGCATTCACCAACCTCTCTGACGTCCGGCGCGCGGCCGTCCAGGCCGTCGCGGACTTCCTGCGCCGTCCGGAGGCCAACAGTGCCGCTGCCGCGGTGCAGGAGGTCACCTCCAGCGTGTCCGCCCCGTCGTCGGCGGTGTGCAGTGTGCCCTCGTCAGAGACGGCGCAGGCTTCCCCTGATGCCGCTTTTGAGGCGCCGGCCGCACTGGACATGGACGTGTTTGACCTCGACTGCTTGTTTGGGGAAACGGACTCCGACGCGTACTACTACGCGAACCTTGCGCAGGGCCTGCTCATGGAGCCACCGCCGACTGTGGCCACCGGGTCGTACTGGGACAATGGAGACTGCGCCGACGGCGGAGCCGGAGCTGATGTCGCGCTCTGGAGTTACTAGTACTAATATCAACAATCTCCAGCATATATTCGAGTTGAAGCCGCTTCGATTATGATCCACGTCCCGAGACAGTCCATCGATGGCGCGCGGCATCGAATTGGATGGAATGGATGATGTTCCTGCATATTTCTTCTCAGGTTCTGCGTGTCTCCTCATTCCTCTCATGGCAAAAAGACGTACAAGCAGTTTTTCTGGTGGGCCCACCTGCTACCGGCCCGGAGGGAGACAATGACACGCGGTTATAGTGTCTCTTGACTCTTCTTCGTACCGAGTGTCGACTTCCTTCCTTGTCGACCGGCCCCTTTGGTATATCCTGTTGGAAAACGCCCACGTTGTCCTCTGGCTAACTGATGGCACCCGGTTCTTCAGCTCTCCAACGGGCGCGCACTACGTGCGCATGATCTCCTCACATGCAGGAACTGCATGCGATCTCCCTGCTCTCTCTCACGCAGTTGTAACAGTATATATGTACTACTCAGATGAATATAGCAGTGTTCGAGTTCGCATAACCTAACTTGGTATCAGTCGCACCCGATCCTCCATCGCTTCCGCTATGCATCGCTTCCTCCGCCGCACCCGCTCGGCGGACCTCGACGCGCCGCCGTCCAACCCCTTCGCCCCGATCCCTGCCGTCACCCCGACCGCGGCCGCGGCCACCCCTCTCCCTGCGGCGACCGTTGCCAACCCCGCGCCCCGCCGCGCTTCCTTCGCTGATCGGGGCAAGGCGGACGTTCCTGTGGTGCCCGTCCCTGCGGCTGCGCCTGCCGGCTCCTCCTCGACCGCGGGCATCCTCCACACGGCTGGCAGCACCCCCGTCCCCGCACCGGGCGGACCTGGACGCGCCCTCGTCCCGCATCTCGCCCTCGGCGGACTTCGCGGCTCCGACGCCGGCCCCTCTTCCACGGCCGGCCTGCCGCCCTCCATCACCCACTTCTTCTCCGCCAAACTCCAGCTCGAGTCTGGCAACTACTCCTGTTGGCGCCAACTCTTCTACACCATCTCCTGCAAGTACGAGGTGCAGCATCATCTCGACGTCGCCGCCGATCCGCTCGGCCAGAGCGCGGTCTGGCGCAACGACGACCTGACCGTGGTCCTCTGGATGCACGGCGTGGTCGACGAGGAGCTCCTCGACGTCGTCGCCACTCCGGCCAGCACCGCCCACGACATCTGGTCGCAGCTCCACCTCCTCTTCATGGACAACCGGCCGGGGCGCGCCGTCATCCTCGGCGCCGAGTTCCGGAACCTCGTCCAGGGTGATCTCTCCATCGCCGAATACAGCAGGCGCCTTCAGTCCCTCGCCGACGCCCTTGAGGACGTGGGCGAACGCGTCACCGATCAGTCCCTCACCCTCCAACTCATCTGCGGGCTCAATCGTAAGTACCACGTCATGGCGACCCTCTTGCTGATGCAGTCGCCGTTCCCCACGTTCGTGCAGGCCCGCTCCCGACTGCTCATGGAGGAGATCTCGGCCACCGAACGTGCCCGCCTGGATGGCCGCCCCGAAGCCACGGCCACGGCGCTCACCATCGGCCACGGCTCCGGCAGCAGTTCTGGTGGCTCCGGCAGCTCCTCCGGGGGCCCCTCCGTCGACCGCGGCAGCTCCCACAACGACCGCGGCAAGGGTACGGCCGCGTCTCCCACCACCGGTCGCGACCGCGGTGGGCGCGGGCGTGGCCGCGGACGTGGCCGCGGGCGCGGCGCCCAGTCCTCTGGGGGTGCCCCGACTGGGCGCGGCCCTGCTTCTGCTGGCCCCGGCGCGATCCCCACGGGCTACTTAGCTCCCTACGGCGCGCTGCTCCCAGGCCTTCCCCAGCCTCGCGCGCCCTGGGCCGCCCCCAACGCTGCCGGTGTCCTAGGCCCACGCCCGCCACCGCCGCACCAGGCCTACCCGGTTGCTGCCGCCTCCTCCTCTGGCGGGCCGACTTGGGAGCAGTACAACCAGCTCTATGCGGCGCTCCAGAACCTCTCCATGCAGCAGCATCAGGCCGGTGGCGCGCCGGACTGGTTCCTCGACACGGGCGCTACGTCGCACGTCGCAGGTACGACAGACATCCTCACCTCGTATGGTTCCCCTTCATTGCGTCATTCCTCTGGCATCTTAGTTGGTGATGGGTCTCGTCTTCCCGTTACTGCCGTAGGATCCACCTCCCTCTCAAATTTTTCTTTGCATGATGTTCTTATTTCTCCCACAATCATCAAGAACTTAATATCTGTGCGCCGCTTCACTCAAGATAATTTTTGCTCAATAGAATTTGACCCGTTCGGTTTTTCCGTGAAGGACCTAGCAACGGGGAAAATAATCATGAGGTCCAATAGCCATGGGGATCTTTACCCCTTCTTCACCAACTCCGGCGTGCAGCAAGCCCTCTCCGTCGTCACCAATGGCCTATGGCACCTCCGGTTGGGCCACGCTAGCAATAAAACTGTTTCCATTCTAGCTCGTGATTTCCTTCCAAGTTGTAATAAAGACATGCCTAGCAACACCGTATGCTCTTCGTGTAAACTAGGCAAGCAGCCAAGACTGCCTTTTACTCATTCATTTTCCAAAACTAGTGCACCGTTTCAATTAATTCATTGTGATTTGTGGACATCACCCGTGTACAGTTTTTCCGGTTTTCAGTATTATCTAGTGATACTTGATGATTTTTCACACTACTCGTGGACCTTCCCGTTGCGCAACAAGTCCGACACCGCCGCCACCGTCTCTCGGTTCTTTATGTACGTTCTTACGCAATTCCACGTGCCTATACAGTGCATGCAATGCGACAACGGCGGCGAGTTCCTCACCTCCTCCTTGCGCGACCTCTTTTCTCACTACGGCGCCTCCTTCCGTCTTTCCTGTCCACACACATCATCACAAAATGGAAAGGCCGAACGCCTAATACGCACCACAAACGACATCCTTCGCGTTCTCCTAATCCATGCAAATCTTCCACCTCCCTTTTGGGTAGAAGCTCTCCACACCGCCACCTACATTCTCAACCGGCGACCATCCTCGGCCATCAACTTTGTGACACCCTACTTTCTTCTCCTCGGCCAGCACCCCACGTATGACCATATGCGCGCTTTTGGTTGCTTATGTTTTCCAAACACCATCGCTACGAGTCCGCACAAACTCGCCCCACGGTCATCTCGGTGTGTGTTTCTCGGGTACCCTCTAGAGCACAAGGGATATCGTTGCCTGGACCTGGCTACACGCAAAGTAATTATCTCTAGGCACGTCACGTTTGATGAGCAAAATTTTCCCTACTATTCTGGCGACTCCACAGGTTCCTCATCCGATCCACCAGCCACAGACAATCCTGGCGCCGTCATCCATCCCGGTCTCCGCGCGCCTCCCATAACACACCAGTCCCGATCGATATCTTCTCCGGGATCGCCGCCTGCTCCCTCCTCAACGTGCGCACCTGCCCAACCAGCTCCCAGCTCTCCCACTGGGCCTGCTGGCCCCACCCCCACGTGCCCTACCACGCCCACTCACCCCGCGCCACGGCCCCCTGGGTCTCCCGCCCAGCCACCCACCGCGCCAGTCTCCCCAGCCACTCCGCGCCTCGCGCCAATCCCCACACCGCCCGCCTCCCCTCGGCATGCACCGGTCCCCGCTGATAGCTCCCATGCACCCACTACATGCGCGCCACCTGTACCTGCTCTCCCGCCGCGATCCGTCCCTGTCGCACCTCCCACTAATCTTCACAGCATGCGCACCCGGGGGAAATCCGGCTTCGCTCAACCAAAAATCCTCCACACCAGCGCTGCCGACATCAGCCCCATTCCCTCCTCATATCGTGTCGCTCTTCGAGACCCACACTGGTACGCCGCGATGCTTGAGGAATATAACGCACTGATGCGGAATAATACTTGGTGTTTAGTGTCTCGTCCTGCAGGTGCAAACGTCGTCACGGGCAAGTGGATATTCCAGCACAAGTTCCATCCGGACGGCACTCTCGCTCGCTACAAAGCGCGCTGGGTGCTCCGTGGTTTTACACAGCAGGCCGGCGTCGACTACGCCGAGACTTTCAGCCCCGTTGTCAAGCCGGCCACCATCCGGGCGGTCTTGAGCATCGCCGCGGGCAAGTCGTGGCCCATCCATCAGCTGGACGTCAAGAACGCCTTCCTTCACGGCCATCTTGCTGAGACGGTGTACAGTCATCAACCGTCCGGCTTCGTCGACACTGCCACACCATCCCATGTGTGCCGGCTGAACCGTTCTCTTTACGGTCTCAAGCAGGCTCCACGGGCGTGGTTCACACGCTTCACCACCTACCTCCGGACGCTTGGCTTCGTGGCGTCGCGCTCGGACTCGTCGCTCTTCATACTGCGCCGTGGCGACCACCTCGCGCTATCTCCTGCTGTACGTCGACGACATCATCCTCACCGCCAGCTCGACCGCGGTTCTCGACTCCGTCATCCACTCACTCCACCGTGAGTTCGCGATGACCGACCTCGGCGCGCTCCACCACTTCCTCGGCATCAACGTCACCACCACCACGCGCGGCATGTTTCTCTCCCAGGAGCAGTATGCCTTGGAGATCCTTGATCGTGCGGGCATGCTCAACTGCAAGCCCATCTCCACTCCGGTCGACACGTTAGCCAAGCTCTCCACCGACACCGGGCCACTCTTCCACGACCCGTCGCTCTACCGCAGCTTGGCTGGGGCTCTCCAGTACATCACATTGACGCGCCCTGACCTCTCCTACGCCGTCCAGCAGTGTTGCATGTTCATGCATGCGCCCCGTGACTGTCACTTCCAGCTGGTGAAGCGTATCCTTCGCTACCTGCGCGGTACGACTCACCTCGGCCTACGGATCCACCGCGATGCCGGCACCGAGCTCGTCGCCTACTCCGACGCCGACTGGGCCGGTTGCCCTGACACGCGGAAGTCCACCTCCGGCTACTGCGTCTTCCTCGGCTCCAACCTCCTCAGCTGGTCTTCCAAGCGCCAGAACACCGTCTCCCGGTCAAGTGCCGAGGCGGAGTACAGGGCGGTGGCCAACGCCGTA